CCAACCTCTTTTTATTTCAATAGTGGTCATCAGCTTTACTTCTCCCCCCCCCCATACCTCTGCTGTTTTGTATATAGATAAAGGTAAAGGTTCCCCTCGCACATATGTGCTAGTTGTTCCCGACTTTAGGGGGCAGTGCTCATCCCCGTTTCAAAGCTGAAGAGCCTGCACTGTCTGAAGACGTCTCCATGGTCATGTGGCTGGCATGACTAAACGCCAAAGGTGCACGGAACACTGTTACTTTCCCACCAAAGGTGGTCCCTATTTTTCTACTTCCATTTTTTATGTGCTTTTGAACTGCTAGGTTGGCAGAAGCTGGGACAAGTAAGGGGAGCTCACCGGTTATGTGGCGATACGCATTGGAACTGCTAAACTGCCAACCTTTCGATCGACAAGCGCAGCATCTTAGCCACTGAGCCACTGCATCCCTAACTTTTGTGTATGCCCCATCTTTAAAGAAATTGGTTAAAGGCATTAGTATCCATACCCCAAAGTACAATCTTTTTATATTTTGGGTCAACTTACAGAAAAATGTGAAGTTTGGGAAGGAATTTAGTAAAGGTTTAGAAGGTTATGCATGCTGCTACATCAGCAGCCCCCAACCTTTCTGCCTTTATGGACCGGCAGTGGTAGCAGCATCAGGGAGGGAGGGAGAGGAGATGGTTTCACACGCATACCTACCACTTGGGCAAATGGAGTTTCATGCATTCGTGGGGGTTGGGGGCCTCTATGCTAAATGAAAGATTTGTAGCAGAGTCGGGGGGAGTCAACAGGTGACACAAATTCATATATATGATTTATCATATCATTATATATTGAGCCCTGGTGGCGCAGCAGACTAAAGCACTGTTATTAACACCAGCTGCCTGCAGTTACTGCAAGTTCAAATCTCACCAGGCTCAAGGTTGACTCAGCCTTCCATCTTTTCTAAGGTAGGTAAAATGAGGACCCGGATTGTGGGGGCAATAAGCTGACTTTTATAAATATACAAAAGTATGACGGCTATTGCTTAATGCATTGTAAGCTGCCCTGAGTCTCTGGAGAAGGGCGGCATATAAATCAAATCAAAAAAAAAATTATTATAGATTATAATATATCATATATTTAGGATTTGTTCCCAATGGGCATTCACTATGATTGCTGTGTTATTATTTTGATTTCCTTTCTTCTGCAAAAAATAGGATTCCGTATGGAACAACCATTTCCTAATGTGGTTCCTTCCTAAAGCATCCTAAAGCAATGTACTAGCCTTTGTACATTTCATATGAAAAATAGAAGATGTAGAGTTTTTATAACACATCAGCTAAAGTGCTGTTGAATAGCTCAGTGCATTGTATGCAGCCAGCATCATTACTGACTAGATCTAGGTGTGCAAATTCAGACATTTGGACCTGTTTTCCAAATCCTAATTTACTTAATATAGGGTTAATACAAACAAAGTCAGTCTCTAATGACAGATGCAGGTAACACCTCCCTGGCTTACTTAAACTCTCCACTGACTTTCCAGATAGATGAAGTCCAGCTTCAACCTCAGCTACCAAGGTCAATGATCTGAACTTGGTCAATGAGATTGCAACCTATAGATATCTCAAGGACTTTCATATCTGATACAAGTCAACTTAACAGAAGAATGAATAAAAGTCAGAGAATTGAGATTCAGTAGTGGCAAAATAATTTGCAGGAGGGAACTGGAAAAAAGTTCGAAAGAGTGGCAAAGAAGAATATATTGGATTTATTAAGCTGAACCACTATTGTTTATTAGATAACTTCAACCTGCAGTTACTATAATCCACAGAAACACATAGCCAGTTCACTTATTCTATAATGTCAGATATAGAAATACTCTAGATAGCTGTATCAATCCATATGCTTCCTTTTGGGGAGGGGAAGGGTCCTTGATTGCTTTCTTGCAGATGTTTCATTATTCAAATACGTAACATCATCAGTGCTAGACTAAGCTTATGCTTCCTCTTATTTGTCTAATCAAGCATTTTTAAGGAATATCAAATTGCTTATAGCTTATTTTTGAGGATGCTATAAAAAGCCTGGAGAATGGACTAGATAACTAGGCTCTGACATGAGGGTCATGATGCCAAGGATATCACTATGAATTCATACTGTAGCCTCCCCAATGCTGGTAAGTATGATAGGACTTGTAATCCTTTAGTTAGCAGAGCTAAATTGAACAGAAGTGGGGAAAATATAACATGCTATGAAGAATCATAGAAACAAATATTACGCAAGTATGGGGTTTTTTTCTGTGTAATGAAAATAGTAAGAACGTTTGTGTACATCTGCATATGTGTTTTGGGTGGGGTGAATGGCATTTGTAACCTTGAAGCAGTGTTTGATGTTTGGTGCTTTATAAAAAAAAATCAAGCTATATTTTTTATTAGGACAATGATTAGATTTCAATGTTTTTTATGTTCTGGAAAAAATTGGTTTGTTTATTCCTATTTATGTAAAAACTCTATGAGTGTCTCCCATCAGGCTCTTACTTCTTTAATAGGTTACCAATTTTCTTACAAATATTAGACCTGTAAGAATCACTAATTTAAATAGCTTAAATTAAATTAAGTAGCTTTTAACTTTTGTATGTTATTGTATTTTTATCTTGGCTGTTCACCGCCCTGAGTCCCCCGGGAGTAGGGCGGTATATAAATATGATAAAATAAATAAAAATAAAAATAAATAAATAATTTCTTCTGAGCCTCTTGCCTCCAGATGCTGGCTATGCTGTCTCCCCTTGGCAGGGTCTCTTTGCCCTGTCTCCCAAGGTCTTTCATTCCATAACAGGAATGCTAATGAAGGGAAGGGTGAAGATGAAGTGTTAACAAAAATCTAGATCAAAGCTAGATTACTCTTTTATCCTATACTATAAATGTGTAAACAAAGGTGGAGGAGAATGTCTGGCAAGGGTGTGCCCAAAGACAAGAGTGTATGAAGGGATAGCAATATCACTTAGACTTATATATCACTTTACAGTGCTTTACAGCCCTCTCTAAGTGGTTTACAGAATCAGCCTATTGCCCCCAACAATTTGGGTCCTCATTTTACCCACCTCGGAAGGAAGGAAGGCTGAGTCAACCTTGAGCCTGGTGGGATTTGAACTGTCAAATTGCAGTCAGTCGGTAGTTAGCAGAAGCGAAGATAGTAGTTCCACTGCATACAAACTGAGCTTTTGCCCACTCCTTGACTGAATAAATAATATTCACATAATCTTTTATTATTGGAATGTTGGAGAAGTTATTTCCCATTGCCTGCCCATGTGTTTAACTTCTTTAATAGCTATCCATATTATAACATGGCTTAAGACTCCCCAAAACTGAAGGTATGGTTAAGGGCGATACGAATCTTCACAAAATAATCTTTAAAATCAAATGTATTAAACCAAAATCAGAAACTCACACTAGAAAAAACATGGTTTGTAACAGGCTTTCCAGAGGGGTACCCCCCAACTCCCAATACGTCAGAGACATTGTCAATTCCCTCGGCACATGCCAGGTTCCTATCCCACATATTTACCTTTTCTAAAGTCATTTACTTTTAAAATGAAAGGGCTTTTTAACAGGTTCAATTAAACCAATTTAAATGGAAAGCTGCCATGTTGCAAAGCTAAGCATCCATTTTTAGCATGATCTCTTGTTTACAAGAATGCCTCTGGACCACACCCAGACATTCCCAGAGGACTGAAAGTGGAGGATTGCTGCACCTCCCTACTTTGCTTGATCTGTGCCTACTGCCCCTCAAAAGCCAAATGGGGTGGTAGGGAGCATCCTAAGAACATCAGAAGGATAGTGGGCATTAACTTCACAAGGCCTTTCTGGAGAATGAATGAATGCTTTATAATTTGACAGGCCCACCACAGCAGCGGGGAGGATATCAGAATTTGCAAGATGGTCATTCTGGTGCCACAATTAGAGAACTGCCCTTCTGTTTATCTCAATCCAAGTGTCTGCAACTATTTGGTGCTTATCCAAGTCTCACAGCAACAGTGATCGAAGTTAGAAAGGACTCCCTTGCTAGCTAAAATCCACAGATCAGAATATTTGATAATGAAATCAGGGGTGAAATCTACTTACCTTCCTTACCGGTTCAGAAGTGCACGCGCCACGCACATCACGTGCATGCGCAGACCAGGAAGTAATGACCCCCGGGTGGGTGGGTGGAGCTTTGCTCCTCCATTGCTACCAGATCACCAATCCACTGCCCAAGATCATTACCGGACCGGGTGATCCGGTCCGATCCAGGAACATTTCACCCCTGGTCTACATGCACAGTACACAACAATTCAGGGGTCCTACAGAATACAATACAATGCATTTTTACTTCGTGGAATCCATGCTCCAAGCCCCCATTTATTAGTATATAAGGGCATATGTCGTGTGGGGTTTGGGGAGGGAACAACAGGTGCAAGGCACATGCCCTTTAGGCAATGATTTTGTAATTGCACAGTGCTGTAAATTGTGGAAAAATTACATGGGCATTCATTTTTGGTCTAGTAAAACAAGCAAAAATTAATGTTTAATTCTTGAAAGTAGGTACTTTTTAAGAGAGGTTATACAAATAATATTCTAGTGTGGTACATACTGGGAGGTGGGTGGGTGTGGTTGTTTGCAGGGGTTGGAATGCAATATAGGCCAGAGGTGTGCGATTTTCCTTCGGAAGGGTGTGTAAAAATATGTGCAGATGAATCACTGAAAGGTAGATAATTTATAATTTATAATCCAGTGGAAAAACAAGAACCATTATTTACCATACATCTGATTTCACACTGATAATCAGTATTTTTCATTAATATCTATAATTTTTCCTCTCATTCCCAACCATATTTTGGTGTTAGAAGCTATTTCAACTGTCTTTTACTATTTCATTCTGCATGCTTTAATTCTGTTATTCTTCCTCCCTGTCACATCACATAATAGGGATTTTGAAGAAGTTTAATAAGCAATGGTCACAAACAATTTGAAACATTGAAAGGAAAGAATATCAATGCTTACCATTGGCAGCCTAGATCCAGGAATGCTGGGGAAATCATGGTGTTCCATATGATAGCCAACATTAAAGGTGATCCAGTTGAGGGGTCCATAGTACGAATATGTCTCATATCCTTTCAAAAACATATAATGCTCCGCTATGAAATGCCCAGAAATAGGGTGCAAACCCATGGCCAGGATCGTTCCTGCTATTAAATAAACAATAGGCTTCCAACCCCACAAATAATAGATTGTAAGGTCAATGGAGAATTGTACCAAGGCATTAAATATCTCCATCTCAGTAATTGCTTTGGGGTTGACATATAGCGGCCTCAAACTGTAAACAAATGGCTGGATGGCAATCCAGATTAGCTTCCGAAATGGAGTACAGAAGAACCAGCCCTCAAAATCAGTAGGAACGTCCACATCCAAAGCATCTCCGCCAAGGTATCGATGGTGATCAATGTGGTACTTCTTGAAAGAGGCAGAGTAAGGTAATCCAACAGGCAAGTTGGCAAAGACTGCAAACCACCTATTCCACTTAGTCTGCTTGTTGCCAAAGGCAACATTGTGAGAGATGTCATGGATTGCTAGTGTTATGGAGTGGTTGATGCAGCCCCCAAAACCATAAGCCCAGAAGAAAACCCACTTCCAGGCTAAATTTCTCATCAGGTAACAGGCAAGAAGCTGAGTGAGTACCATTCCTGTCACAATCCATTTTAAATGGGGATCTGAACCCATTAGAGACTTGATGGCTGGATATCTGGCTGAGGGAGGAAAGAAAGATGGCATTAAAGGCAGTTGAGAACAGCCTTCCTTTTTTTAAAAAAGGCTCATCTAGCCCAGCAAAGTCATCTCACCATTCCTCCAACTGTCTGTTCCACATAATTACACCCACGTGACAGAAAGAAGCAAAGAGGTTATACTGTAAATCCACCATGTTTGAAAATCACATGCTCGTCTGATAAAAATCAGAAAACAACAACAAAGGACAAGGCCACCATACCATTTATATGAGGAACTTTTTATTGCATAGTAACATTCAGTCTTTCTGAATGTAGACTCTATAACAGAATCTCCTAGCCAAATAGCTGAATCTAGTCCTGCTTAGTTTCAGCAAAGTTACTTTATCACATGTCTTCAAATCCTTCCTTGGGATCTTCCAACAAGGATCCTGTAATCCGATTATGTATTCCATTGTTTGGTTCCATTTCCCCATTAATTACATAAGTATTATTAACTTGTCTTAAACTTTGTCACTTTAAATACGCAATAGTTATTTTAAAAAATAGTTTTAACTTGGATTAAAATGAAATGTAGTTCTAGACCTAAAACCTCAGCTACAATTCTGTAACTAAACACTCTTCCTCTTAGGTTTTAAAAAGAGGCCAAGTTTATTATAAAATAAACTTATAAAGCCAACACTAAAACTTGATGCCAAGAGAATATAGCACATTATAACTCCATAATCCCGGGGCAAAGATTACGAAAGGATGCTATAGAAGAATTTGATAGCAGGAACACCAAAGCCAGCTCAAGGATATACTGTATGGCCACCTTCCTCGGATGCAAAGAATTACTTTTAGAATCATTTGGAAGAAAGTATTCACTCATGTCTTTGTTCAATGACAGTTCCTTTGGTTCCCCAACTGTCAAAACAGGAAGAGCATAACCAATAAAAATGGCCTCCACTGCTGAATTTCAGCCCTGCCTATCTACGAAAAGAAGAAGTCCTTGATCTCCCAAATCCAAGATCCAAGCTACTGAGACGTGTGCCATCTTTAAGGCTATGAAAAAGCCTTAAAGCCCTCATGGACATGTGAACACATTATGAAAATGGATAGCCTATTCAATAACATTAATAATGGGGTAGGAATTAGGGACTGAAATCTGGTATTGTTGTGAGAAACTGTAATTTTAAGCCCTGGTTCCCTCTAGTGGTGTCTAAGACCAGAGAAAACACACTATTCAAGTACCGTTATGATCTTCCTACCCTGGTTTCTGTCTAGGCTGGTGATAGGTTTCTTATACTGGTGTCTAAGCTTGACCTTGGGATCCTTTGCCAGGAATGTACAGAAAAACTTTGTTGCTTTGGCTTTATAAGTTTGTCATGAGCCCTACAGGCTACATGGCCAAGCTCAATGAGTTTTCTTGGCAATACACTCAACCAAAATTTCTAATACCAAGGCAGTTAATGCAAGGGAATTTGTAGCTGCCATCTATAGCACCCTTGACATATCTGGTCTGTAACTTCCAGAATTTCCAAACGGCATGGCCTATAAATCTAAGAGACATTTTTTTCCTCCAACAGATTTACTGGTTATCCTCATGGGAACAATATAAAAAATTAAGTAATGCAACTGATTTTTTAAAAAATGTGTGTCACTGCCCTTCTTTTGTTGACTTTTGATCAAGTTGGGAGATATTATGATCAAGAAACAGGTGTACGTCATCTTTTTTCAGAGCATTGGCTGCCATCCAACATGGAGCTCCTGGCTGCTCCAGAGTCCCCTTGAAAGCAGCCAGGCACAACTTTTAATGATCCAAGGGCCACTTCAGCCTTTTTTTATTTTTTTTTATTTTTAATTTTGATTTATATGCCGCCCTTCTCCGGAGACTCAGGGCGGTTTACAATGCGTTAAGCAATAGCCTTCATACTTTTGTATATTTATACAAAGTCAGCTTATTGCCCCCACAAACTGGGTCCTCATTTAACCTACCTTAGAAAGGATGGAAGGCTGAGTCAACCTTGAGCCTGGTGAGATTTGAACCTGCAGAAATTGCAGGCAGCTGTGTTAATAACAGGGTGTATTAAACCACTGTACTACCAAGGCTCCTTTGAATAAGATACTATGGGCCACAAAAAAATACTTACTGTATTTTCTGGACTATAAGATGCTCTGGATTATAAAATGCACCTAGCTTTTGGGGAGGAAAACAAGAAAAAAAAATCTCCCATCACCACCCATCACCACCTCCACACGTGCCTCATTTTCAGCCTCCACACATCCCATTTTCAGCCCGTTCTAGGTGGTGGGGATTGCCACCACCTGTCACTGCTGAATGGGATGTGTGGAAAATGGGATGCACAGAGGCCGAAAATGAGATGCATGGAGGCCAAAAACGGGATGCACGGAGGTCGAAAATGGGGCGCATGGAGGCAGCGATAGGCGGCAGCAATCCCTGCAGCCTGGAACAACTGATTGTATTCCGGGAGGCCGATCTAACCGCTAATCAGCTGCTTGTGCTAAATCAGGCTGTGTTGAAGCTGACCAGGTCGTTTGCTGTTTGCTGCAAGGAGGCAAATTGCTAGGAGGCAGAGGCCGGTGGGTAGGGGCCAGGTGGGTGGGGCCGACGGGTAGGTGGGGCTTTGGCAACATTTGCTCTATAAGACACACAGACATTTCCACTCACTTTTTTGGGGGGAGTGTGTCTTACAGTCCGAAAAATACAGTAAATGGTGGGGTGTCCATTTGATTTCTTAAATATTAATGCTTACACTTTAATGTAATTATGTACTTTTTAAAATTTAGCACTTGCAATGATTCTAATCTCTGTCCCTCTCTATTATTTGCCCCTCAAATGGGAGGCTTCATATGATTAAGCCATTCCCAGCTTGTTGATAGAGTTTGTTTGTTAGCTAACGAAAACATATAGAATAAAAGTGTCTATGGAGAGTCTCAGTCATCCATGTCATGGTTGTCCCAAAGGTCCTCAAGAGGCGACTGGACTTTTCGCTTCTCATCTCAGCTGAAGAAGCTTCTTGGATGAGAAGCGAAACATATTCAAAGAAAAACCAGAAAGTCCAATTGCCTCTTGAAAAAGCACCTTTGGGACATCTAGAAGAAGCATACAGAAAAGGACAGACCACTGTGAGAAATTGAAAAGAAAGGATATCCTTCAGTCTAACTTTATATCAACTGCTTGAAAACTGTCAACCTCCCAAGTAGATCAGACAGGAAACATAACAAGGTGAGCTAATTCTACTTTTTAATAAAATAAAGCTATATTTATGTAATAATCTTGTAAATCTAACAGTACAAATTTCCACCATCAATTTTATGGCGTGATTAGTTCAGGATCTTTTCCTTTTATCTGATCATTCCCTAGGCAGCATCTCTCTCCCCCACCACACCTTCCACGGTCATTATCACATTCCATTAGAGAAACCAATAGCTCACTGTGATCTGTTATCAAACTGTACTTACACAAATTCCCATTTACTTTTAAACATTACTGGCATGTCGGCAATTTCTTTTTCCATTCTCGAATGGCTTCATTCATAACATCAGAGATATCAGAGTCTGTTATCTCGCTATCCCTCCTTTGGACAAATTTAGTTAGGTAAGGTAACCAATAGGCCCTAGATAACAAAAAATGCACACACTTCAAGGATTTTGTTGCTTTCAGAAATGTGACAATTTGCTAAGCAATAAGCACCTCACATTCTCAATCACAACTTTCCAATTAAATGTCCTGTTTCTAAAAGATCCCTTTCTGTCCAAAGTTGAATCGCTTTCCATTGTGGTTTCGGTTGTGACTAAACACCATATCTACAGTATATACATTGCAGAAAGCTGTTTTTTAAAGTCTGTTTAACATCCATCATATGTTACAGACAATGTGATGCAACCATATCTCTTCAGATGCAGATGCAAATGCAGATGCAGATGCAAATTAAGACTTAGATGAGACCGTTTTTCAAAATACTTAATGAAATGAAAATAATAGACCTCCATAAATTCAGACTGGAACTCAGCCTATACAGATCATCATCATCATCATCATCATCATCATCATCATCATCATCATCATCGCCTGGTCAGTGGGCTGTCTTATAAATTGAATGAATGAACAGATAAATAAATAATCTGCTGCTTCAGTTGTTGAACTGCTTTTTTGGATTTATCTGAATTTACCATTTAAACTGTTTTTGTCCTGTGCTTATGCCAGCTTGATTCTAACCTCGCTTAAGGAAATCCTATTCAGACTAAGACATTTTAGCAGCAGCTTCAGAGGTGCGTTTCAGCCAATTCTGACTAGTTCTCGAGAACCGGTAGTGGAAATTTTGAGTAGTTCGGAGAACCGGTAAATATCACCTCTGCCCCGCCTCCAATCTATTCGCTGCCTCCCAGTCTCCCAGCTGATCGGCTAGAAGGAAAAAATTAGGCTCGCTTTTCAGCTGGGAGATCGCTTGGCAAAGAAGAGGGGAAAAAAACAAGACACTGTTGCTTTAAACTAAGAAGCCAAGAAGCCTCCCAACTGATCGGCTAGAAGGAAAAACTCAGGGCTCGCTTTTCAGCCGAGAAATCACTTGGCAAAGAAGAAGAAGAAATAATAAAACAAGACGCCATCGCTTTAAATTGACAAGCCAAGAAGCAGCTGCTGGAAGAAGGTTTTTACTTGCAGAAGCAAAGTGACATTCAGCAGTTCGTTTCTGGGTCGCTGAACAACAAACTGGATAAGAGGAGGGATTCTTATATGGTTCTATGTTTTTGAAGTTTGGAGGTTTGCACAACATGGGCTTTGTGTTTCTAAAAAGGTTTGGGCAATTTCCACTGTGAAATGAATTTCCTGCCTGCTTGTAAATGGAGCTGAACTTCCGACTTCCACTTTATATTGTCTCTAAGCATCTGTAGATGTTTTCTTCTTACAAAGTTTCCTTTTATGCAGCAGGAATGTAGAATGAGCCTTAGGCAGGTTCCTTTGTTAGCAGCTTGATTTTTCCTTGCTTTTCTGGGAGCCTTTTCTTATGAGTAATATTTTA